AAGTTCCAGTTATATTTGAAAATGTCAAGGTGCTGTGCAAGGTTGCCAATATCGATTTATCTACTTTCATTTGTCATAATGATGATTTTGGTAGTCACTAACTACATTATTTACATATAACGCCAATCGCAACTTTTAAAATGTTTCCTTATAAACATAGAGGACTTTTTAAGAAAGTGTGATACTACAGTTTTACACATTCCTAGATAAACTTAGATAATTAAAGCATCCCTTCATATAGAGCGCCATCCTTCAAGTCTTAGTTAGGGCCACATTTATGAACATTAGTAGACAAGCTGCAAGTACGCTTCAAATCGTTCTCATCGAGACAAACAGTATTTCGTACACACCCACATACATCCAGACACACCTATGCATAAGCATAATTGTATGAAATTCATGTTTATTTGGGTAAAAATCTTAAGATCATTCCAACTAACAAACCTAAAAAAGGTAATATTTATTAAAAATAACATCAGCAAAAAATAAATAAATAACCAGTAAGGAAAGTAGTAAAGTCGGACGGGGCCGACTATATGATACCCTTCACCACTATGGGTATATTAAACAGGACTATTAGCATGAAATTGGATGAAATAATATATGTGATATTTATCTAAATGTGAATCTACGTAGATCTATCCATAAAGTATGTAAATCGACTTCAAACAAATATAAATGGGTCATCCGTTGGGCTATGTCTGTACTTCTAGAAAACGCAACTACATAATTCTATGCTCAATTTTGTACGTTGTGCAAAATTTGATGTCAAACTGACTAACATGAGGAGTTTGATGCCCAATTTACTTGAAATCGGGCGAAAATATATATGGAAGCTCTATCCAAATATTAAGCGATTTCAAACAAACTTGTCACAGGATAGGTTATACTAATATCAGAACGTTTTGTTCCTATTGGTTCTTGGTGCGTCAATTACTTAGAATCAATCTATAATAAAAGGGAGCTATATCTAAATCTGGACCGATTTTCACGAAACAACGCAGACATCACTCTAGGCTCAATTCAGTACGTTATGCCAAATTTTGTGCAAAACGAAAGATATATAGGGACTTTGGTGCAACATTTACATGAAATCGGACGAAACTATATGTGGGAGCTATATAGAAATCTGGACTGATTTTCTCGAAACTTGGCAGACATCACTCTAGGCTCAATTCAGTACGTTATGCAAAATTTCGTGCAAATCGAAGGATATATAGGGACTTTGGTGCACCATTTACATGAAATCGGACGAAACTATATATGGGAGCTATATGTAAATCTTGACCTATTTTCACGAAACTTGGCAGACATCATTCTAGACTCAATTCAGTACGTTATGCCAAATTTCGTGCAAATCGAAGGATATATAGGGACTTTAGTGCACTATCTCGAAACTTGGCAGACATCATTCTTGGCTCATTTCAGTACGTTATGCCAAATTTCGTGCAAATTGAAAGATATATAGGGACTTTAGGGCACCATTTAGATGAAATCGGACGAAACTATATATGGGAGCTATATCTAAATCTGAACCGATTTTCTCGAAACTTGGCAGACATCACTCTAGGCTTAATTCAGTACGTTATGCCAAATTTCGTGCAAATCAAAAGATATATAGGGACTTTGGGGCACCATTTATATGAAATCGGACGAAGCTATATATGGGAGCTATATCTAAATCTGGACCGATTTTCTCGAAACTTGGCAGATATCATTCTGGGCTTAATTAAGTACGTTATGCCAAATTTCGTGCAAATCGAAGGATATATAGGGACTTTGGTGCACCATTTACATGTAATCGGACGAAGCTATATATGGGAGCTATATCTAAATCTGGACCGATTTTCTCGAAACTTGGCAGACATCACTCTAGGCTTAATTCAGTACGTTATGCCAAATTTCGTGCAAATCAAAAGATATATAGGGACTTTGGGGCACCATTTACATGAAATCGGACGAAACTATATATGGGAGCTATATCTAAATCTGGACCGATTTTCACGAAACTTGGCAGACATCACTCTAGGCTTAATTCAGTACGTTATGCCAAATTTCGTGCAAATCAAAAGATAGATAGGGACTTTGGGGCACCATTTATATGAAATCGGACGAAACTATATATGGGAGCTATATCTAAATCTGGACCGATTTTCTCGAAACTTGGCAGACATCATTCTGGGCTTAATTAAGTACGTTATGCCAAATTTCGTGCAAATCGAAGGATATATAGGGACTTTGGTGCACTATTTACATGAAATCGGAGGAAACTATATATGGGAGCTATATGTAAATCTTGACCTATTTTCACGAAAATTGACATCATTATAGGCCTAAATGATTAGCCTGCACCAAATTTCGTGCAAATCGAAAGATATATAGGGACCGTTTACATGAAATCGGTTAAATATATATATGGGAGCTATATCTAAATCTGAACCGATTTTTCCCAATTTCAATAGGGTTCGTCCTTGGGCCGAATAAGTGACCTATGCCAAATTTCATCCAATTCGGATCATAAATGCGACCTGTACTTTGTTTACAATTTAACATGGACAGACAGGCGGACGGACGGACATGCATAAATCGTCTTAGAAAGTGATTCTATGCATATTCTCAAAAGGAACCATGGGTCTATCTCGATTATTTTTGCCTGTTACAAACATATGCACAAAGACATAATACCCTGTACCACAGTGTGGTGAAGGGTATAATAACAACATCTAACACAAAAATATGGCTCACATCATTATCTGGTCATGTTAGGATAACTTATAAAATTAATAGAAGCAAAACAAAAATAAATAAATCATAAGCGAGAATTATAAATGTACCCCTTACATATTTGTGTATTTTCATTAAATATGGCCATGCCATTTATGTGATGCTTTTAGATGCATTAACGTGGTAAGTACTCAGGAAGTCATGATTTATCTCCAAAGCCAATTGATTGTCTTGTTGGTATGAATCTCTGTCACATGGGACCTATCTAAACATTGTCCGCAGCAGGAGAGCTTCTTCCAATAAGACAGTGTTACTGTGCGCAGATTTTAGGAAAATCGCACTCTGTATTATTAAAGAAATTGCTAATTATATCATACAAAGTGTTTTGTTTATTGATGGCTTGGAATCGTGAAATAAGGGTTATACAAAAAGTGGACTTATACGGACATTTTTCCATTTTGTAAAACAGTATAAAAACGAATAAAGTTGGTGAAATATAGGCGGTTTTTACCGTAATTTGATAACTTCTGAGAATTCGGATGGCATTATTATAACGAAATGTAACACATTTCCGAACCTATCCTTTTTGTTTTGTATCTCGGATGGTAGTAGAATTACAACAAATCTACAAACTGCCGTCATATAATGTCATACCTTGTGAGATCTTAAGTAACTAGGGAAATTTAATACTCCATGAGAAATTAAAAAGTATCCAAAATCCTCAAAATATGGAAAAAATGCTCCCATTAGGAGAACACGATCCGATCCAGTCAATATGCGGTTCACATGTCGAATTTGCCCACAATTTCAGCGGCATTGCTTATTGGATGAAAATTTATTAATTTAGTGCCAGTAGATCAGGGATTTCATAAGAACGTAATTTATAACCTCTACCTCATCCAAAATAAAATTATATACAATCGGTCTATAGCGGTCACAAGGTTATTCGTAGAGCTTTCCTTTTGTTCATATCCAAGGAACATCAATGGATCTAAATGATATTCTACGTAGTACATAGGAAGGACACAAAATTCAATTCATTCGTTTTTGCACACCTTTTTCTTCGTACTTTATTTCATATTCATATTTAAATTATATCACATTATCACACATTATGTGTTCACAATTTTACGGTTACAAGTATTTGGATGCATGTCTGTCATTGTGTATCTCAGTGGCGCTAGAACGTCAGTAATCAACGCCAAGCAGCTTTTATTCGAACATAAGAATTGCAATCATAAATTCTAAGTTATATGGACTTGTCTATATATAGCATATGCATACATATGTGTGGGTGGACGTGAGCAAACATGTCGGTGGTTGACCTAGATAAATGCGAAAATGTGTATGCCATTGTAGACCAACAAAACCTTTAACTGCGTCCCTCATTTGGAATATACCAGAAACGTTGCGTCATTTCAAAGGCAAAGAAACCCTAGGATATAATATGGCCTTGAAGAAAAGTCAAAAAAGCAAACACTACTACTCGAGGCGCAAACACAGAAGACGTCATCATGCAAATGATCTCATTTGTGGGATGAAGGAAATGAATAATGAAAATAACCACCTTTCTCAGCCATCCTCTATCCTTGAAACTCAACATTCGTATTGTGATCTAAATATGACGCACTGTACATGAAATTTACCTAAAAATTAGTCCCAAATCAAGCAGGAATTAATAGAATGCCTATAGACCCAGTCAATTCGGTCACGACAGTTTGCAAAGACTGCACCCACACACATCCATACATAGAACCACATTTACAATCAAATATGACATGTCTGTTTGTTTGAGCTTAAATCTAGTTCTTATTCCAAATTGTCTCTAAAATCAACACGTCTTCAACAAACTGTAACATAAAACACGTAACTTCTTAAAACTAAAACAAGCATATTTCCTTATATCTTAACATTTTGTAGCTTAGTTATATTACTATTAAATAAAAAATATATGTATATATTTAAGTCAGTCCTTAAAACAAAAACGTTGTAAAGTTGAAAGCGTGGAAATGGAGGAGGGAGAGATATAGAGCAATCTGCATAACCGCAAAATGTTGCTTTGGACCATTGACAGAAGTCTGGTTTAATGGGTGGCGGAGAGGACAACAAAACCACCCAAAACCATATTCTGTATTAAATATATCCCTGCTCTACTGTTTGAAGTCAGAGTGGATTAATGAGTGGTTGTGTTGACGATGGCCAAGGCCCCAATGCAACGAAGCAGTGCTGGGGGTATCGAGTGTGTTCACGGACGTAGGGCGTGCTCTATACTCGCTTCAGTTGTTGTGAGCTATGCTGGTGCTGCTGGAGGCAGCCCGCTCAGCGTATGTACGCACCGTAGATCTACTACTGGGTGCTGCCGAAGGGGACAATTGCTGCTGCTGGGACGCAGAACCTTGAACATCCAGGGAGTTGAGGGTGTTATTGGAGACTGCTTTCTGATTGGGAAATAAAACCGAATATGCAGGTGGAGGATCCAATTCCTCATAGTTGGGTGGTGCAGCCGGTGCAGAGAGACTATCTTGACTCAATCCAGGTGCTACGTTGGCAGCATTGGCATTCTGCAGAGCTGATTCACGTTCATTGTTGGCAGCGTGTTGTGATGCGGAAGCTGAAAGTAGACGAATGGTTTGAATGTGATAGCTAAAGCGACAACAGCAAACTGAAGTGTAGTCGGTAAAATTAAGGAAAAAGGAGAGGGCGGGGGTGCAAGAATAATATAGTCAGTGTTTCGGACATCGTTTAGTACAAAGAAAACAATGATGTGCGATGAAAAAATTAATTCAAGACATGCATGAGTGGCAATACAAAATATTACTATAAATATTGAAAGACTTACCCCAAAGGCCACATATCAGTAAGGCTCCACCGCACAACAGCATGCCCAGCATTAAATAACCCCACGGGCCATACTTCGAAAGATCCGAATTTAATCCCATCCTAGTACCATTGTGCTTAGGATGATGACTGCCTCCAGTACTATTAGCATTTTCGGATTTGCCAATGTTCTGAGTACCGTTACTCCCATCCACAATCAATAACTCTTCGTCAGGAGTTTTGCCACCATCGGCTAATCCCTCCTGGTCCATGGTACTATTGACACCTTTCGACACCGCAGCTATTGAGGGCACATCGTACGCAAACAGGTTACGAAACACCTCCAGGGCAAAGTGTTCGAAAATATCAGATTCAACTGCAGGTGGTATCGGTTCCCCCAAGCGGCTACGTTTCCAGCACATAGCATAATCTTCGTCACTGTCGTATTCATTGCTGTAGGGGCAATGACGAATGCCATCGCATATTAAATCTTTGGAAATGCATAAAATCGGCTCATCTCTGTAAATATAAATTGTACGGTCAGGCGGAGTTTTACAAAAAAAAAAGTTTGTGATGTTACTATTACTATTATAAATATGATTTTGCATGCCAGCCAATGTCCCGAAGCAGTTGGCCTAATTTTATTTCGAAGTTTCCAACGTTTTAAAGGAAACCTACTTCAAATTCAAATAGAAATGTAAATGGCCAATATTTTTTACAAATGCATGGATGATTATGATATGATTATGAAATGTGCCTCATCGAAATATTGGCTTTAGTATTTGGAGTCGATTTACACATGTCTGTCCGTCTGGCTGGTGCGGACGATAACATTCGAAGGAAGTAATCGATTTCATCCAAACTTTGCATATCTTAATATTTCTTCCAAACTTAGTTTAGGTTCGTAGATGGGGAATATCAGTTCACTCCTTCTGCTACCTCACCCACAAAAAGGTCAAAATTGTCCTAAAATTAATTTTGTAATAACGTACAAACGGACTATCCGAAAGTTTGTACAACCTACTATATTTACCAAGCCTAGGTCAAGTAGGAAGATGGGACCCATTGATCCACTCCTTCTGGTACCTCCCCACAGAGGGTAACAATTTTCAATATTTATAAATCCAATATCAGGCGAATGAAATTTATGAATCCAATATCAGACGAATGGAATGTCCGATTTGAACCAAACTTTGCACAACCTATTATTTCTGTATTTAATAAATAAAAATATTTTTTAAAGAACATCAGACCTCATTATAAACTATAAATAATTTTTTAAATACATTTTTAGTACTTTTTTCTAGCTCTTTTCTAAATTTTCTAGCACTTTTTAGCATATTAGGTGTGTCTGGTTACTTTTCCAGTAACATTTATTCAGTAAGTTCCGGTTCAGAGAGTAAGCCTTTCTTACTCTCTTTTGCGGTAATACTGAAAAAAGTAAACAGACAACATTTAGTAAGATTTAGCAAATAAACAGCTGATTCAAGAAAACATTTGATTTGCGCCAAAATAAACAACAAACAAAGGACGAACACAATTATTTGTATTGCATTTAATATCAAAAATAAAATTAATAAAAAAAAATTGATCTGGTGTGTTCCCCGGGAACATTTAAGCTCCCTGCATCAATACATTGCCCTCTATCTGGAACTTGCCTAAAAATATATAAGGAATTAGTTTCTAATTTAATGAAACTTTGCATTACTTACGAATTTTCTTCCATTTTCTGTAATTAACTTCAAACTGAACTTTGCAAATTAAAAAAAATGTTTTAAATAATTGTTGTGTTTGGTCAGAAAACAGCTGATCAGCAAATGGCTGAGTTGCAAAATCTTACTGAATAAAATTCTTTCAGTAAACTCCAGCAACTTTGTTGTTGTTCAACTGTCAAACTTGCTCTCTTGGCAACACTGGTAATCGCAATCTCTAAACTCATAAAATGTGAATATTTGACAATAGTCATTGGTTCAGTCGTTGTATACCAAAGGAACCCCCAGGTGGTTGCTGACTTCTAAGACTCACCCTTATATACTCATGTTATCTAGCCATATAAAAAATAAATAAAAAAGCGTAACTTATTCCAAAGTTATAAAAAAATTACTATGATTGTTTTAGGTTTGCAAGATTTTTAAGAGTAAAATGTAATGTAACAAAATCCCAGATAAAATCATAAAAAATTGGTGCAGAATATGCCAAACCACATTAAAAGTGTAAAAAAGAGCAATCGCTTAATATTTTGATTCTTATATGTGCAAAAGGGTTCGTACTGAGTTGTTTTCTTGTATCGCATAATCAGATTTAGTAAAATGTTATCTTATTTTTAAATAAAGAGGGTGCGGAAGAGGCAACCACCAAGTCCCAAAATTACCTCTGTCGCACCCTCTTACAAATTGGAAAGATGCTCTTGAATGCTTACCTACCACTAAAAAAGTAATACCACAAATATGCGATTGTGAGGACTCAGGACTTTATATCGTGAATGAAAAAAGTTTCAAAACGTATAGAACATGTTACGATATATTGAAATAACAAAAGTATAATTTTAAAATGGCCATTGAGACAATTTTATTGTGTGAAAGAGAAGACATCGCCTTGAGGAAAAGTAAAGCCTCCTGAATACTGTCGTACAAATGATTACATTATATTGTGAAACACAACAGATTGAGCAACATGATTGCGTACAAATATAGAAGAGATAGTGGAATGGTTGGAAGAAATAGGGGAAAATGGTAAAATTTAATTTGGATTTATTTATAAGAAGTAGAAGTTTCAGGTCAAATGTAATGAGTTCGAACTCCGAATATTGTATAGAATTACATTATTTGTACAATGTTTGAACGAACTAATTGTAAATGTAAGAAGCAGATTTTACGAAAATGAAACAAATAGTTGAAACATTATTCAGAATTATACAATTTTAATGTTATTATTTCAAAGAAATCATACAATTTTATGAATAATATCTGGAGGTGGATCTATGGAAGACTATGTGGAAAGCGAAAGATCCCCGACCTAATCGACCTAATATGTGGCGAAAATCGATTTTCCAATATAAATATATTGTTAAAAATTTTAATAGCAATATCAGCTGAAAGAAGGTTTTCTACACCACGTCGAGTAAAAAAGTAGCTAAAAAATCGAATACAAAGCTCACGTTCTTCTTTCTATGCATAAATCTGTAGGAAAAACATGACCACATAACTAAACCAGTGAGCGGAGCAGTATAGTCGGACGGGGCCGACCATACGATACCCTACACAACTACCACGGAACTCAATTTTTTTTCGGATGTTTATTCCGAGCCCGGGCAATATTTCGTGATATTTGCACCCTCTTGTCCGATTAGAGGTAAACAGCACCTCTTCCTCACACTTTTCCGAATATTACGAGTATTCAGTACAGCTATTGTCCAGATTCCCTTCACCGTGGGTTGTGTTGTGATGTTCGGCTTTCATTTGTGGTCTATAGATCGACTCGAAAATAACACAAAAAATTAAGTTTTCGGTCCACTTCATTCCAAAATTATTATCTGGTCATCACCGAAAATTATAGGCGTTGTCCTTGACCATAACTGGAACCTCATGGAACATTTCAAAGCGATCAGCGCTATAGTTAAGCTCTCCAGAGTGATAATGGGTTACTAAATAATATACAAATACGGAGATACCTGTAAACATTTAGGTGTAACTCTCTCATCCGAGCACATACAACAATATAATTGGTCTTAATTTAAAGGTCAACCACTCCTCTTGGATATAATATCAACTTCTCGGGTATATGTCCTTCAGGGGTAAATATATATGCCATAGTATAATAATTTTGTCATTTTTCACACAAAAGTCAGGGTCCATTTGACCCGCTAAATATTGACCGATCTTTATCAAAACATGCATGCTTATTCTTTAGCCTTCATGCAAAATTTCAAGATGTTCGAGCCATTATTGCGGCCTCTGGAGCGACCAGAAAAACCGACAAAAATTTAGTATTTGGTCCATTTCATCCCCTAAATATTAACCGACCTTTCCCAAAAACAATAGGGGTCTTCATTGGCCAGAACCCATCCTACATGCAAAATTTGGTGAAGATTGGTCCATAACTGTGGCCTGTATCGTGTTTACAAATTATAATGGACAGACGGACGGACGGACACACATGTCTAGATCGACTCAGCTAGTCGAGATATGACGATCGGTATACTTAAATGTGGGTCTAGGACCAATATTTCGCGGCGTTACAAACTTTTGGGGCTACACAAAGCTATAATACCCTGACAACATAGTTGTGTAGGGTATAAAAACCAAAAATAGAAATACACATTATTTTCTAATATGCCAAACATTTAATATATACGCAATACATTATTCACGATTATTAATGCCTTTCCATTTAACGTGCGTACTAATGAGCTATATTAAAGTAATACATTTTTTAAACTTAATCATATACTCATCCCATATTTAAGAAAGGCAAAATTTGACTTTTTTCATTTCGAACCATCGGGACCGACAAAAATTTCCATATGCGCATCAAATGAATTTTAGGACTACGCGGTTTAGACGCAATTTAAAATATATGTTTTATAATATAGTTTTATTCTAAGATTTATTACTATTCCACAAGTGATCATTTTTATATATGGCCATTTCAGTTCAGCGAAATTAGAGGAACAACTCCAATATCCTTTTCTGAATGTCTTGTATAAAATTAGAAAATAAATGTGACGACATTATTTCTTCAAAGCTATAATTTACAAACCGCTACACCGATTTAGGGTGGTGTTTAGATCATATATTACTTTTCAATTAATGTCTTTAATATATTTAAAATAATGATCTAATCTCCTATATTATTATATTTCTCGAAAATATGTTACTTTTTCATGATTATTATAATATCTCCATATTCATATCTCACGAAGGAATCCATATCAACATTTTTGGTCAATATAATAAACAGCGTCATTTGAAGATTTTTTTCCTATGTTCAAAATTAAAATTTCCATAACATTTGCACGAATGAAGTACATTTTTAAATTTTTACCACTTTTTGGTCAGGTCTATAATTTGTTCTCAATGAAGTTTTGGCACCACTGACTCCACGTAGTACCTCCTCCATAAGCTAATTGAGTATCCAAACTTCACACAAAGTAATATTGTTACAAAATATAGATCGTATCCGAAGTAGAACTTCCACTCATTCTGGTACCTCACCCAAAGGGTTTAAAATGTTGACAATTGTAAACATTGATCTAATCGGAAAATGGGCTCTTTTCAGAAAATGAATACATTAAAAACATGTTTTTCCTAGTTCCATGCAAATATCATTCTCCCAATTATGATTATAATATCTTTTAAACAAATACATAGAGTAACTTCGGGTAATGCGGACCACCATTTTCTTTTTTGATATTGTAGGCGTAACAACGGTAAAAATAAAAACAAAATGTTTACACAACACAGTAGTTTTGTTGGCTAAATATATTCTATTTCAAATATTATTTATATTTGTCTATAAAATGTTATTGCATTATATTTCAAATATCTCTAAACTGCGAATAAAAATAACTTGGCGGGTAATGTGGACCAGTATGTGTGGGTAATGAGGATCAGTAAGTTAAAGGTAGGTTGTGCATTGGTTGTGATAAATTTCGGTTTATTGCACTCTTCGGTAACAATGAATGCAAAAATATATGGGTTATTGTTTTGAAATAGTATTGCGGTATTTTGAAGGTCCTTGCTTCATTATCCAACCGAGGCACCTGTTTTCAGAGGATAGAATACCACCTCGCATATTAAATGCGAGGTGGTATTCTATGAAAAGGTCCCACTTTTTAATAGTTGTCCACATTACCCGACATTGAATATTGTTATTTAAGAATAATTATCGGCTTCAAAAATGAATAAAATTTAAAAATCACCGATTATAATTACTGCTAAACGTATATTTTTGTTAAAAAAAAAAAAACAAGAAAACAAGAAAACCACATAACTTCTTTATAGTCGAGAAAAACCAAGTGTTCGACTATTTTGCAAAAACGTTCGACTATTGTGCTAAAAAATTTTCAAATCACACTTTTATAATCAGAGCTACATTTTCTACTACTAATTTTCTTAAAACCAAACTTGATGTTTGTTGTCATTAATTAGAAAAACATTTATCAAGGCGGCATTGACATATTTCAGGCATTTTCTTAGATATGGGGGGTGGTCCACATTAGACGCCTGGTCCACATTACCCGAAGTCACTCTATATATTTGTTCACTTTTGTATGTTTTCAAAAGAACAACAAATGATGTTCGGGTACACAGGATACGGAAAAGTCTTATTTGTGATGTCATATTTAGTAAATAAATACGTTTTATTTAATTTGTTCTTACCCGATCTTTAAGCACTGGTGTTTATTTCCGCTTCGGCACTGGTCGCCTTTTCCCAGCACAGTTACCATGAGTTTGCTATTTAGGGTTTGATTTTCATGGTCCCAAACTATACGAACTCGCCCATGAAATAAACGCACTGGATCCTCCATTTCTGGGGACGTGTCTTCCAATTGACATGGGTCTACGCGCCATTGTGGTGTGTGAGGATCGTGAGAACTGAACTGGAAATATAGACAAAACACCTCAATTTCAGGACAAAGTTATATTGTATATACATATGTGTTTGTATGTCCTCGAGTACATCTAACAATGTTTATATTTTCCACGCATTACAAAGTGGAATTCATATATACCAAAGCAATACACCCTACCATTAATGTATTTTTTATGGGTTTCTCTAAATTCCTAGTTTTATTCTTGGATACTGCAATGTAAGTACTTCTCTAAATAGAGTCGAATTAAATATTTTCAGATATGAAGAATATAACATAGTAAATTCTTTAAATGAACTAGAATTTGAAGCATCAGGATAATGCGATGGCAAGTGTCATCGCATTATGCTGACAGCATAAATCGGATATAACTTCAAGAGTATGTCGGATTTTTATTTGTAATTTTAAATAGATTTTGTATATTTTTTCTGTGATCAATTATCTTTAAAATTTACCCAATTTTATTGGAACAAAACTGATTTTTTCAATTTCAATAAAGTTCGTGTTCAATAAATGGATATGTTACATATAAAATCTATAGAAATGAAATAAATAAAAAATATTTACTATGTCTATAACGACCTAAATCGGATACGGCTTTGGTTCACCTTTTCCCGAGAATTCCCACATATAAACAGCCCAACCATTTTTTTATCAAAATACACTATTAGAAATCGAAAAATATGTACAAATTGCTTAAAATTAATTTTTGGTTGCAATTCAGGCGCTCAACAAATCAATGCTAGGACTGAAAAAATGTATCACAATATATCACGTGAACCATCTTTTTTATTTTGTAAAAACATTTAGAAAACAATCAAGGCCAGGATTTAAAAAATGTACCACACACGCGAACCATCTTTTTTATTTTTTAAAAACATTTAGAAACCCATATTTTTAAATAATAATAATCTGTTCACTTTGTATTTTAGTCAATTTTTAAAAAAGAACAACAAATGAAGTTCGGCATATAAAATTGGGTGCCATGTATTTTTTCTCAAGTTATTCATGGTCGGAGGATCCAATCAATGAAATTCATAGTTTAGAGAAGAATGTTGGAATGTTAATTTTACTAGGAGGTAATTGTGTACTACAGTATTTAACGCTTATATGCACGTCACTTGTAAGCAATTGCGCGTATATGCATTGACATTTTTACAGCTTTTCTTAACTCAACAAAAAAGATTGGTACATATGTAGTAGTTTTGACTTACCTGCACAAACAACAATTGCACTTATTTCTGTGCAGGAAAGTCCAAAGTGCAAACACATTTAATCTCATACCAGCCTCGACGTGCACGTAAGTGAAATCAGTGCATAAATCAGATCAACAAAATACAAAATGCAAAATTTTTAAGCAGTGAGAGGAAGAAAGTGCCAACATTCCGTTAAAAGATAGTTTTTAAAGTTGGAATCCTATATAAGATGCAAAATAATTTAAACTTAAGAACTAAGCTTTTAATATTTGAATCACTTATTCAATCACATTTAAATTACTTGGCTATTCTATATGCTTACAAGAAGTCTAACAATTCATTAAAATCTTTGCAATCAGTGCATAAATCAGATCAACAAAATACAAAATGCAAAATTTTTAAGCAGTGAGAGGAAGAAAGTGCCAACATTCCGTTAAAATATAGTTTTTAAAGTTGGAATCCTATATAAGATGCAAAATAATTTAAACTTAAGAACTAAGCTTTTAATATTTGAATCACTTATTCAATCACATTTAAATTACTTGGCTATTCTATATGCTTACAAGAAGTCTAACAATTCATTAAAATCTTTGCAATGCATGCAAAATAAAGCTTTAAACACTATTTACAATTTGCCCTTGAGATATTCCACAGAGTCATTATATAGGGACTTTGCAGTAAATGTATTACCTATTCATGGACGACATATATATCAAACTCTAGTTTATATTTTCAAAAATATCAAACAAATTGGCCACCATACTATCACTATTCCACAAAACCAAAATAATGTGCACACAAGAAATCAGAGCAACCTGCGAATCGCAAGATGTAGATTGGAAAAAACCAAACAAAGGATTGATTATATTGGCAGTAAAAGATATAATGAATTGCCACCAGATATAAAATCACTACAGAATATTTCGAACTTTAAGTCTGCCTGTAAAAAATACTTATGTTCCATAAAAGAAACACTTCTAGTATGAATGTTTACTAAATTTATATTTTTTAATTAAATATTAACATTTAATGATGTAATTCAAAATGTTGCCAATTGCCTCAATAATGCCACTAGGGCGCTGAGGCCAAAATACAGAAATGTAAATAAATATAAAAATTTAATAAATAAAAAAAATGATACTACTATATTTGATAACCAGCTTTTGAGTTATCGGTTTGGAGAAAAACAGGTTAAAAGTTTAAACTTAGATTCCTGCTCTTCTATTATGTTGGTCCACGACGAAAAACTACGGTTGCCAAAACGCAACACAATTAAACAAATGTGTTGTTTTTGCACAGTTGTGCATTCAAAACAATCATTCTCACTTCACACCATACTCCTAGAGTCGATGGTGTTTCCATTCCATTTTCCAAAAGGAATGGTTGTCCAGCGAGTCGACGAACCATCTACCTCCATCGATATGTCGAGACCGTCATATTTGCTGGGTTCATACAAGTTGCTACTTCTTCATTATTTCGTAAAAACGTAGACCTGGAATGTTGACAATATATCGAAGAGGAGTGGAAACTATAGGAAACCTTTAAATTTATACCAATAATATTACTGCCCAACTTTTCCCATTATGAAATATCGTGCCGAATTTATTTATGCATATTTCCAATCGCTCTGTAGGCCATATTTATGATCCGAAATCTATGAAATTTAACCGGGGAGTGGATCTGGACAACGAATAAGCATGCGGACATGTTTTCTTCACGAAGGCAGGGTCTAGAGACTTTGGGTACATATGAAATGAAATCATAATTGAATTTTTCATTTAATTCATTCATTTCCATTTTCGCGAAATGTGAGAAAAATAACAAAATTTTGGGAGACTGAATCATTATCAACAGCATTTGAGTGGACCTTCTTAAATTTAGACTAAAAAATAGGTTTTTATAAAAATTTACGCACCAAATTTTCGTCTTTGGAATCCAATTGCAAAGAAGCTACGATAATCACATTCATGAGATATACATAAAACGAAGCGAAATCACGAGTTCTACAATCGTATAATCAGTTTAGTCCATTATCTGGTTGCGCGTCCTGATTATAAGAAAAATTCAAAAAACACCGAAAATTCGGCTTCAAAATGTCGAAGTCCTTTTTGGGTTGATGTCGAAAAATCATACATTAGAACCATATTGTCCATGGGGTATTCTGCAACTGAGTCACTGATATCATGTGCGTGCGTTGGAAGGAACATAAAAAACTCGTTGGCTTCAACACATCTTCACCCATTTTTACATTACTTATTCTTACCAATATTCTTCTTATAACCAATTTTCTAAGATTCTGACAAGAACACTTCATTTTATAGAACTTAAATTATAAGCAATATGTTCATATATATTTTGCTTTTAATAGCCTCAGTTTCAAGGAATTCAAAAGATTTTTGTAATTTCCCACTACCTTGAATGTGGGAAAATCTGCAAAAATTTATGTTGACAAATTCGCGTATATAATCGCGAATATCCAAAATCGATTGTGGAGGCACATCCGCGGATCTTAACCGATCATTTTAAAATAGGTGTCCTTTTGTGTATTTTTATATGAGATTACTGAAATTGGATGCGCATAAAAATCGTATGAACGTTGCGTGATTTTTAACCATTTTTAGGGATTTTGCATAGTAAAGTGCATCGAGCGGCACACTTTGACCGCTAAATTAAACATCGAAAAATTCATAATTATTGAAAGACATTGATTCGGTTTATACGAAAACCGCATGCGCATCAACTGATTTCAACTAATACGCGAATTGCATGCTTTTAAATATTGATAATTTTTATGTATTGTAACTGCAATATATTTAGCATTAACAATCATCAAAAAGAATTTGAAGAAAAAAGCGTCGCATATTTTAGAAGATTAAGGCAAAACCATACTAAATAAAAATCGACAATTCAAAAAAACATTTCGATTTAAGGGGACCCCCCCCCCATTCTCGGGGTCAAAATTTTTGTTGACATAATTTGAATCTAAACTGATTAAAGAATGTCTCTACAAAATTTCAAGTGAAAATCTCAAGAACTCTTGAAGATATATCCGATTTATTGTGTCCGCATCAAGTGACGGCTGAAGGGCTTCTCAAACTTTAACCCTACGGTCAATAACCGGGTACATTTGTACCTTTCTTTGAATAAAAATGCTGTAAAATGTTTAATAATGGAGATATTTGGATCAAATTTTGAGGAATCATTCTTGAGGTATTTTCACACATAATCGAAGAAAAAAATTATAAATATTTTCAATATATATAATTTTTACAATTTTTTAAAGTTATTACCTACGTAGATCAATAACCGTGGTACATTTGTACCCATACAAAGATAGCTCTGTAACTCATTAAAAAATTGGACTATCTTGAGGTTTTTTGTTTTAAATTAGTCTATACGGATCTGGTCTAGATGTAGGAACTCAAAATTATATATACCTTAAAATAATATATATTTAAATCCATGCTTAAATGATAATCTATCAAAAACAATCATAGTAAATTAGTTATAGCTTTCGAATGGTTTAAGCTTTTTTGGTTATTTTTTTATTGGGATCTTATTTAGGTGTTCCTCAACTCCTCTGCAAATTTTTGTGGCACTAGACAACGTGGGGCCATCAGGGCGACTCGTGGAAGTCAGAAACTACCCTGGTTTTCCCTTGGTATACAGGGACAAAAATAATGATTATTGCGCGTAATTATCCAATTATTCTTCATATTGGACCTGAAACTTTTTCTATAATCGAATTAGTCTGATTTATTACAATCATAAATTGGCGTAAATATAAACTATCATTAAATAACGTTTTAAAGTATTGAATAGTGTTAAAAATGTGCCAATCACAATCTCTAAACTCATAAAATGTGAATAATTGGCAATAATAATTGTTTTAGTCCCTACATACCAAAGGAAAACCAGGGTAGTTTCTGACTTCCATGAGTCGCCCTGATGGCCCTATGTTGTCTAGGGCCACAAAAATTTGCAGAGGGGTTGAGGAACACCTAAATAAGATCCCAATGAAAAAAATAACTAAAAAAGCTTAACCCATTCGAAAGCTATAACGAATTTACTATGATTGTTTTAGATAGATTATCATTTAAGCATGGATTTAAATATATATTATTTTAATGTATATAAAATTTTGAGTTCCTACATCTAGACCATATCCGCATAGACTAATTTAAAACAAAAAACCTCACGATAGTCCAATTTTTTAATGAGTTACAGAGCTATCTTTGGATGGGTACAAATGTACCACGGTTATTGATCTACGTATACTTTTTTGGTTGTTGGCCATAGGGTTAAACGCGTTTTTCTCTAAACATTTTTTTGCGAATGGCGGGCACGATAACTCAAAAACTAATAATCCAATCGGTTCCAAATTTTGCAACGTTTCTCTGGGGGTGTATAGCTCTCGTATGAACTAGGATAAAGCCAATCGGTGAAGATCTTCCTTATTTTTTAACTTGTTTTTTGGTCAAAAATCGGTGATTTTCCAAAAATATTTTTTCAAAGGTCCACCATTTTGTTAATTTTAGAGCGAAGCCAATAATCCTAGTTCATACGAGAGCCAGACATGTACTCTTTCTAACACCGTTGGAATTTTCGGATTCCGATGTTCCATCGAGGAGTTATCATGCCCGCCATCAAAAATAAGGACTTTTCTTTAATTACAAAAAACAACAACAAAACAATAACAAAATTTTGTTGTAAATTTTTTTCTTCTCTTTTAAATCTTCAATTATATATGTGCCAAGTTACAAACCTTAACAAGCATTGGTATTGATTTACCAGCCCATTGAAAATCTTGAAAAAATAAAATCGAGAATGGGGGGGGGTTCCCTTAATTAAAAAATTAATTTATTTTATTTTCAGATATCTTCATGCTTCTATTTGTTTTTCGCGACAATTTAACCGTAATTCAATGTGATTTGACAAGTATGCAAAGAAAACAAATGTGTTTAAACATTTGTGAAGAAATTCGCGAATTACAACAAATAGGAATTAATTTAATTTATATTTGAAATACAAGATTTAAAATCGCTATAACTTTTGTGCGCAGCATCCGAATTTGTGCACGCGAACATATTTCGAATCAGCATATTTTTCTTAACTTATGTACCAAAAATCATGAATGTGCTCGCAAAAAAATTTTTCAAAATTTTTTTATGGAATTTTGAAAGATTTTTTTAATTTCCCATATATTGTTTTTAATAAACTTTAATTTGATTTAAAAAACTGCATACGTTGTGTATAGTCCATGACGTGTATTATATCATGATTCAGATATAGTCCATTAAAGGGCTTAAAACGAAATTCGATTATAGTCCTAATTCGCTTATAGTCCACAATTTAGAACAATTATTATTTGATGCATGAATAATTCTTAGTTACATAAATTTGGGGATCGTTATTGCGTAAGATTGAGATGTATATATTGTGATAAATATTTTTGTATAGGGGAGACTGGTGCAGCTTCGGCAATGACGTTTTGATATGAAACTCTCATTGTTTTGTTATGAAGCTCTCATCGTATATCAAAATAAATTACTATCGAAAAGTGTCCATTTCCATTCTGTGTCGTAAGTATTTCGTGTATAAAACTTCTCAAATTTTAAGGCAATGTTATTAAAAAGCATTAATTACAATGTACTTTCTTATAAAAATAAGTAAAACAATAATGTTTGTTGAAGACTGATAGAAAAAGATTAAAAAAACAGAATGTGTTAGATTATTTGCTTTAATTGTTTTCAGGTATGTTTTTAAAAAATACTTTAATATGGTTTCAGATTAGAAGCATAAAAGCAAACGTGTTTCTATTGACGAAAATGCGATCGACAAAAGCTGTTTCTGATGGTGTGTGTGGTCTTGAGACGCCGCTAGAAATGTATCCTTAAACGTCAAACATTGAATCGCATATTAAAACAAAATATAAGCTTTAGAGGTTCTGAATTCTAACCAGACTGATAGCAATGGGAATTACCAGGCTTTGCCTTTGGGTGACGAATGTTCCTCATGAAATGCCGAGGGTTCCCCGGGCAGGGCACCTTCGGCGAATTTGACTTTTTATTGATTTTTAAAATTACAACCAACGTGTAAGGATATTACCGTTTAGTTCTTTAGCCCTTGAGGGCTATATGAGTGTCGAAAATGTAATCACTTTGGTACTTGATAAACGGGTAGAGGTAAGTGAAACTTTGTATAGCATTGGGCACTTGGGATTGGGATAATGGATTAGTTTTGAACGAAAGCGACAGGTTTTTTAAACAGTAATATGTGTACAAATGGAAATTATAATTTATTTAAAAAAGGAAACGAAGTTGCGGATACTTGCTATATATAAGTTATACTTACTATATTCAAAGGGCAACGCCGGTCCATTTTTTGTACTACGGTTTTATTCCAGCTCTCACGGATGGTAGGCGTATCATTATTATTGGATGTACTATTTGTTGCAGCTCTTTCTTCTCGACCTTCAACTTGATTTGGGGGCACTGTTGAACGAGGAACATTCCTGTAACTATTGTACTGATTTGGTTGCCATGTTTTTGGTAATATTAGTCTAATGATAAAGCCATAATTTGGTGGGGCACTCAATATCCTCGTACAGGATCGTTGATTGAGGTTAATATCTGCTTTGTTAAATTCCAAAATTAGACTAGATTCCTTGCCCTCGCTTTCAATAAAATGTTCCTGTTGCTGCTTGCAAATGGGTTCAAATGAAGGTTTGGTACGAAAGTCAACATCTGCAAAGTAAAATGAACTGAAATGGTTGTATGGAATGTATTTCTGATGCCAGAAGTTCCTTGAACACAGGTAAATTGTTCGCTTTTCAATTACAGAACAAGTGCGATATTTTTCAGAATAATTGCGGCAATCCATTCCCGAATACCCCTAAAAATCATATATATAATTCATTATGTCAGCTATTATTAGAGAGTATTGTACTCATGACACCTGACTAATATAAGTTAGTGTAAAACTTTCGTTTCGTGGCGTTAACTAATTACCGATTGGAGTACATCTATATGTAGCAATAGTTTGCCAGGAGAACATAGGCGTTTTAAAACGAAGATGACTACCGTCTGTTTGTGTATGGTTATTAAGAGGAACAATTCCGAATATGACAAAATAGGTCATTGAACTATTGGACTATTTTTTTATTTAAGAGAGCATATTACATTGATAGTGCCATAGAAAGCATTGTCTAGCCTGTCGGAGAGTTTGCATATATCTAACTGTTACAAAATCTACACATTGTGGGTCTAGCATGCAAAATACCGTCAAACAGCCATATATAACTTTACGCAAATACGTCAGAGGTATCCTAAAACAATGTGTGTTTATTTGATTAATTAATTTGGCCCCATTGACCCATTGCTTGTCAGCACACAGACTCAAACGCCTAGCCGTCAGATATGTGTAGACATCTGACAGCGTATCTTTGATACTAGCTCGAATATCGAACATTTCTCTCAAAATATCAATTCACAGTCAAGCAGATGTTTACAACGTTAGGTGTGTTGCGCTACACAGTGTGGCCTCTGTATGTATCAAATTTATACATCTGGTTACATGCTGGGTTTGTGTTCCATAACTTCTGACTATATTTTTACAGAAGAGAGGCTACTGAGTACTTTTTTACAAAGTAGATGACGTCTCCAAGATTATAAATAAGTCCTTTTCAAAATCGCAGATCACTTTCCCGAGTTTGTTGTGGAAAATTGATCAACCGAACCACCGGTTCATTAGTGAGTAGAAAGAACAGATTGAGGATCTCGAAATGCCAAAAGATGGCTTAGTCGCTTAAAATACATAACTCCTGGCGAAATTCCAAATACTTTCAATGATGTTAAGCATTTTACCCATAAGACCGACAAGTCGCTCCCGCAACTTCCAGTCGTCATATATTATGACTAATTTGTGTATGTGAAAAACAAGTTTGAATTCAACGGTTTTTGGAACAGAACCGCAAAACAGAATCATAAAAACATGAAAATCTACAAACCACACAACACCGCCAATGAATCTCAGTGATTGCTTTCTCGTTCGGCAGTTGTTTTTCCAAACTGATTTGAACTTGCACTTTAAAATTCTTTTTGACAAGTCCTTCAACAGTTCCTAAATTCAGCTTTATTTTACTGTCTTTCTTTTCAAAATGCAGTTTTACTTAAATATGACACCGTGGACTTTATTCTTTCCATACGAACATGGTTATGATCTTCGGCAAATAATAATATAAGTGTGGGTTATTTTCCATGATTCGTGTTATGTTTCAGCACAATGGCGGGAAAGTAACTTCATGGGTTTCATATAGTTCCGGGGCAAAATGCCATACACAGGGAATCTTTTGAACATTTTCATATTCATGATGTCGCTTATTACTTTGATAAACTATTTTTAGCATATTTCACTTAGTGGCAAAACCTTTCAAATTTGTAAATGGAAAATCGAAAACAATTTCGAAGTTCTCACATATCGCACATTTGCTACAAGACTGGCATAAATCATAAATTCTGATTTTTGAGATAACGCATTTTCTTGAAAATCAATTTTTTTTTTTAATTTATGTCGGTCTTGCAGCAAATGAGCGAGTTGTTTATTTTACGTGAGTGATTCCGCAATACGTATTTCCAAACAAAGAAGAACATATTTGCCTTTTCACATGACTGCCATCAAGCAGAAAAGTAAAAGAAATGGCAGTTACCGGCAAATAATGAGGTAATAGATGTTTTCGCATTGCACCATTTCTATATCTTGGCAAAATAGAAGCATGATTGAGGAAGAGCCGAGCCGAGGAGGGCTATCGCTCTACCGAATACATAAATACTAAAACAAAATGCAAAGTTTTCCCACCAAGCAGATATTGAAGATCAACGACAAAACATCGTCTCTAAGGTCATTGGCCAACGTTGGGATTCAGAGCAGTAACGAATCATATACACATGTATATTATCAGCCGCCGATGTACCGAAATTTGGGATTTGCCGCTATGAAAACCGTATCCATAAGCCTCAAAATACCGAATATTGGGAGGGGGCACATGTATATGGGGACTACCTCATAGGAAACGGTATATCCCATGGAAACAAAAATGTCAAAGCTTATTCCTGGCAATATCGAAAACCAAGACAATTTTCTACTCGTAAAACAAAGTATTACAAAAAAGTTGGATGTTGGATTTAATTCGTTCGCCTTAAAGAGTATCTCCGTGTTCGCTGGCGTTTTGCCTCTACATGCAGATTTTTGCCACAAAATATGAAATCGTGCGTTCAACTTAACAAAGCACGCTAGGGGATCTTTCAAGTCGAACTGCGACGTGTTGAATACATGGCCGTTCGATATTCGTAATTGCCATTAACTAACGGCCAATTAAGGCGACTGGCGAAACCTGTTCGCTAAGTTGTTCATTGGATGTTATTGCAATCAAATGATTTACAGCTCAAAAGGCAATTGACTCGCAGAAAATTCAATTAGCTTCGATCCGGGACAGCGGCGAATGCCAAATTGCTGCCAGAAATCATTGAGAACTTTAAAAGTATGTGTAGACATTGGTCTAGCTTGTCGGAAGTGATGTCGGGATGGATTCGACATATGGTCTACCTGTGTTCAAGGATTCACCCAGCGTCGGCAGAGTATGTACTTGTGTAAACCGCAGCACCCGGTATCGATGTTACACAGCTGAATAGACACCAAATACCGAGTATCAGGCCCAGGCTGAATGCTCTGCTGCTGTTGTTGTATGTGTAATGCCTGAGGCTGTGTTTGGCATAATTGCAATTCTTCGTGGGATTGTTGGTGTAGTTGCAGCAGTTATTACTGCTATTACTGCCGATGGCGCGATGGCTGCGACACACGCCGCTTTTATTATGTGCAACCATTTTGAATCTCCTCATGTAATGTTCGTCTGGGAAGAGAGGACACTTTCTTAAAATTACACTTGAGCAACAGGCTTGGCAAAAGACATTTCGTCGCACCCTTGTCCACTGTACAGCTAAACAAATTCCACTGAATATTTTCGAAACCGATACGCTCACTCGCGGACTCGGATCAACTCACACAATCTACAGCTAGATCCACAAGATGGAAATAGGTATACGCGATCCGCTACACGATGCTACCACCACGAACGCTTCAGAACACACACTCTCACTTGGCCCGCTTTCAAGATGTTCTGTTAAATGCTTTCGACGTGGTTTAATTTTATGCACATTCTCATCATAACGTCGACCGCCTCGGAATTCGAATAGCGTTTCTTATTTCATCATTGTTCGCACAGAGCTCTAAGTAAACAGCAAAAGCAATATTAACGACACAACTCTCATTTCGGGTTTGGTAAGTATGTATGTATGTATAAATGTATGTAGCAGTTTGTTATTTCCTTCGTTTTCGTTTTGTCGCACTACTCTCCAGAATCGGCTAACACACGAAAGCGTACACGTCTACCTTCACGCGAATCACACAATAAACTGGTAAAACGATCTTAAACATGAGCTGAGCACAGCACCAAAAACATATGGCCAAGCGCCAAACCTCCATCGTCGTTGTCGTTGCTACTACCCACTAAACAAAGGTTGGCAAAGCTGGACATGTTACTACAATGATCTCAGCACTGCTCAGTTAGGCGATCTAGTTGTTGTACAGACGTGGTCTCAGTCTTAGTTTGTTGTTGTTGGTGTTGTTTAGGCACACAGTGAAGTGAAAATTGCCTCCACAGTTGCAATGGGGTCATATACCTTGACCAATGACGCGCCTGTGAGAGCATTTTCAAAGGGCTATAGCAGTGTTTACATCGAACGTCTTCCAATAAAACAGACCATCAACGAAATATTTTCTTAAAACGTCGCCATTTATGTAGCTTAGTGCTGTTAAATGCATTAATATCCGTTGTTTACAGAAATTCACGGACAGACGGACACATGTTACACATAATTGCACAAAGTCATCAACATGGCACATCGTACAAAATATAGAGTCCGAAATCTTAAATTAAGCCTATGTCTTTACCTGCAATAATATACAATATACGGGGAAGAGCTATCTAAATACCTGAATACCAAAAATAGAACCAACTCTTCTAATTATTTAAATCGTTTTGTATCATATTTGGTCCAGACTGATGTCTGCGAAGTTTTGTTAAAATCGGTTCAGATTTAGATATAGCTCCCATACATAGTTTCGTCCGATATTATGTGAATGATGCACCGATTGGGACAAAATTTAGCACCGAGTACTGAATTGGGTGCAGACTGATGTCTGCGAAGTTTTGTTAAAATCTGTTCAGATTTAGACATAGCTCCCATATATAGTTTCGTCCGATTTTTTGTGAATGATATACCAAACTCCCAATATTTGTCTGATTAGGTCAACAAAGTACTGCATTAGATCCACACAGATGTCTGCGAAGTTTTGTTAAAATCGGTTCAGATTTAGGCATAGCTCCCATATATAGTTTCGTCGTTCAGATTTTGATATGGGTCTTACATATTTTTTCGTTCGATTTTATGTAAATGGTGGTTACACGAAATTTGGCAGAGGGCATTAAATTGAATATAGTGATTACAAAAAAACAAATGTTTACTCAATTAGGTCCCAGTGTTTATATATAGCTCCCATACATTATTTGACTCGATTTCATACAAATGGTACACCAAAGAATCCAAGTCTGTCTGTTTGACATGCAATTTTTCATTGATTTCAGAATGGTATGTGTATGGGGGTTTTCAATTGGTTCAAATATCTATCTAGATATCACATTCAATTTCGCCCGAATCCATCTCAACGATTCTGTGACCGTTCTATCAACAGGATACTTTAGATATTAACATGTCTAGAATGTACCCAGAGTGGTGAAGGGTATCATATAGTCGGCCCCGTCCGACTTTTGAACTTTCCTTACTGGTTTTTCAATGTATAACGAATTATTTTTTGGATCGACTTCAATAAATAAATTATATCTATGCTAATAAAAGAGTATAGTGATTGATTGACTGACTGATTTAACGATTCATCAACGCCCAGACGAAACGGCTGAAGCTAGAATCTTCAAATGTGACAGATAAGGCTGGGTTTTTGGAAATTCGTACTAGAAGGGTACGAAAAGTACTACAAAGTACTAAATATGGTATGATTTGTATTTGGCGAACCAGTAGAGCTAGAACTCTGAAATTTGGATTGAGGGTCACTGATGGAGTGAAGAATAGATATAGCAAATGGAAATTCGAACTATAAGTATCCGAAAAGTACGGAAATGTACAAAATTTTGTACAATTTCGTAGCGTGTGAATGGATTGGGCTAAAAACTTGATATTTCGAATGCAAATTAAGGTTGAGAAGTAGAGTCGATATGAAGAGAGTTTGGAAAGCGTGTACTCATGTGTACGAAAAGTACTATATGGTACTATATTTGGTACAAATTTGATTTGGAGGTACAAATCGGAGTGTAGGATGGGGATATGTACGTAGTTTTGGAAATTTTTTTCTTATGTGTACGAAAAGTACTAAATGGTACTACAATTGGTACAATTGGGATTTGGGTGAACCGATAGAGCTGGAACAATGACGTTTAGAGTTATGATCATTGTAGGTATGTAGGATTAGGGTCAGGATTCAGTTTAACAAATTAATACTTATGGGTACTAAAAGGTACTAAATTTGGTACAAGCGGGTGAAGCGATAGAGTTGAAATCATGAAATTTTGATTTAGGATCACAGTGGAAGTGTAGGAATGGGGTATGTAGGAAGTTTTGGAAATTGGTACTATTGTGTACTAAATTGTGTACCATTTTAATTGTGGATGAACCGATAGTGTTGGAATCCTGAAACTTGGATTTTGTATCACTGTGGGGGTGTTGGTTTGGGGTAAGAAGGGGGTTCTGGAAATTCGTACTACTTTGTACTTAATTTGGTACCATTTGAATTGTGGGTGAACTGATAGAGTTTGAATCCTGTATGTAGGAAGTTTTGGAATTGGTACTACTGTGTACTAAATTGTGTACAATTTTAATTGTGGGTGAACCGATAGTGTTGGAATCCTGAAACTTGGATTTTGTATCACTGTGGGGGTGTTGGTTTGGGGTAAGAAAGAGGTTTTGGAAATTCGACCTAGTTTGTACTAAATTTGGTACAATTTGAATTGTGGGTCAACCTATAAAGTTGGAATCTTAAAACTTGGATTTAGCATGACTGTGGGGGTGCAGGATTGGGGTAGAAAGGAGGTTTTGGAAATAAGTATTACTGTGTACTAAACTTGGTACAATTTGAACTGATAAATTTAGAATCCTAAAACTTTAAATTAGAATCACTGTGGAGGTGTAGGATTGGGGTATGTAGGAGGTTTTGGAAATTGGTACTACTGTGTACTAAATTTTGTACAATTTGAATTGTGGGTGATTTTGTATCACTGTGGGGGTGTTGGTTTGGGGTGAGAAGGGGGTTCTGGAAATTCGTACTAAATTTGGTACAATTTGAATTGCGGGTGCACCAATAGAGTTGGAATCCTGAAACTTGGATTTAGAATGACTGTGGGAGTGAAGGTTTGGGGTAGGAAGGAGGATTTGGAAATAAGTATTACTGTGTACTAAACTTGGTACAATTTGAACTGATAAATTTTGAATCCTAAAACTTTGATTTAGAATCACTGTGGAGGTGTAGGATTGGGGTATGTAGGAGGTTTTGGAAATTGGTACTACTGCGTACTAAATTTTGTACAATTTGAATTGTGGGTGATTTTGTATCACTGTGGGGGTGTTGGTTTGATGTAAGAAGGGGGTTCTGGAAATTCGTACTACTTTGTACTAAATTTGGTACAATTTGAATTGTGTGTGAACTGATAGAGTTTGAATCCTGAAATTTGGATTTTAGATCACTGTGGGGGTGTTGGTTTGGGGTAAGAAAGAGGTTTTGGAAATTCGTACTAGTTTGTACTAAATTTGGTACAATTTGAATTGTGGGTCAACCGATAAAGTTGGAATCTTGAAACTTGTATTTAGGATGATTGGGGTATGTAGGAAGTTTTGGAAATTAGTACAACTATGTACTAAATTTGGTACAATTTGAATTGCGGGTGCACCAATAGAGTTAGAATCCTGAAACTTGGATTTAGAATGACTGTGGGAGTGAAGGTTTGGGGTAGGAAGGAGGTTTTGGAAATAAGTATTACTGTGTACTAAATTTGGTACAATTTGAACCAATAAATTTAGAATCCTAAAACTTGGATTTAGAATCACTGTGAAGGTGTAGGATTGGGGTATGTAGGAGGTGTTGAAAATTGGTACTACTGTGTACTAAATTTTGTACAATTTAAATTGTGGGTGAACCAATATAGTTGGAATCCTGAAATTTGAATTTGGAATCTTTGTGGGGGTGTAAGATCGGGATCTGCATGAAGTTTTGTTGAATGGTTTGAATGGTTTAGAGCTCGAATCATGAAATTTGGTACTAAATGGTACTCAAGTTTAATTTATGGTCGATATTAATGAGTGGATGTGTTTTTCTGAGATATGCAGTTTGCTGTGGAAATAAAATTATATGTTAATACATGTTGAAATATTTCCTACATACGCTAACGAAGTTGCGGGCATATGCTAGTTACATATAAAATGTATAGAAACGCAATAATGTTACAAAAATATTTATTCTTACTCAGAATTAAATACCAACGACTATTCGAATAAAATCATCGCAATAAAATTAAAAACCCAGATGGAATGAAATTGTAGAATTCTTAACATAAGTCACAATATTTATTTATCGACAAACTTGAACCGTTTTACACTAAAAGTTAGGTGCAGCAGAATATTATTTTCAGGATCATTAAGAACCTAATAAAAAGATATAATTATGGATCCAGTTATGGAAAAGCTTATTTTGTGAAGAAATG